TAGTAATTGAGTTTGAAAATATGCATTTGAAACATAAGAAAATGATTTCAAAATTCAAAGTTGAAAATGATCTTTTGATGAATGCAAAAAATATTTTAGAAAAAGAAAATGAAAAGTTGAAAATAGATTTAAAAACCTCTCAAAGTAAAAATGAATTTTTAGAAAAAGAAATTTTTGATTTGAAAAAGAAATTTGATGAATTGATCAATGAAAAACAAAAGCTTTTAAAGAGTTCATTAAGTACTAAAATGATTAAATGTAATTTTTGTAATTTTCATGGTCATACTATACATACTTGTCGTATTAGAAGAAAAGTCCCATTTAGAATTAGGCAAGTATGGGTTCCAAAATGGATAAGAGACTTGGTGACTAACGCTCAATGACCTAAAACAATTTGGGTACCAAAAATCAAATGAGATTGTCTCTTATAGGTGTGCTAGAGCAAAGAGCTACAATGTGAGATTGAAGATTGAATACTCTAGAGACACAATGGAGATGGGTAACCTCTAAACTTTTATTTGAAGAAGATTTGATTTTGGTTACCTATTCTTGATGAAATTTGGATGCTTGATTGATTATGCAAAATTAGGTTACCTATTCTTGTTAGACATAGAGTTCAAGATGAAGTCCAAGACACATCGAAGGAAAATGAGACCTAGGAGATAGAGAGGAATTTTGAAATATATGAGGACCTTGAGGAAGAAAAAGTTCAAGAAAAGGATCCACAAGAAGTTGAAGCGAAATACATAGATACTGCTAGAGAATATAAAGATCTCCTACAAGTTGGAAAAGCATTCTTGAAGAATATAGAATCAAATATAGATATGCAAGAGGAAGATCATGAAATGAAGAGAATAAGAATGACTCCAAGAATGTCAACCTAAAAGAAGACATTTGAGTGCAGCCTAATCAACAGTAACATCTAAATAGAGATAGCTACTAAAGAGTTAAAGAAGGTTACACTTGTTGATAATTGCAGCCTAACACTTCAACAAATCCTTCTAACTAAACAAGATGACCTAGGGAGTTTTAGCATTCCATGTTCTATTGGTCATGTGTATTTTGATGAAGCTTTATGTGATTTGGGTTCTAGTGTCAACCTAATACCTATGAATGTTTTTATGCAATTTGAAGTTGGTACATTGAAACCTCTAAATTTTAGTATCAAATTTACTAATAGATCTACTAAGAAGCTTCAAGGGGTATTGGAAAATGTTCCTATAAAAGTGGGTTAATATGCTTTTCTAGTTGACTTTACTATTTTAAACATAAAAGATAGTAAAGCCTTTATCCTTTTAGGTAGACCTTTGCTAGTGACCTCTAAAGCTGTAATTGATGATACCTAAAAAAATAAAATTTTTAGTTCTGTAATTCAACTTTTATCTTGTCATCCACTATGGTATTTAAGATTAATACCATCAGCTAACTTGTTGACGTGGTATAAATAACTAATAAGATGTTATCACGTGTAAAAGTCTTATCAGTGTCATATCATCAATTGCCATGTCATTATTAAAAGAAATGTTTTTTTAAATTCATCAAAATTCGAAAAAATTCAAAATTTTTTTTAAAAAATATGAAAAATTAAAAATTTCTTAAATCTAAAAATCTTAATAAAAAATCCAAAAAATTCTAAAATTCTAAAAATTCAAAAGAATGAAAATTTTAATAAAAATAAAATTTTCTTAATATTCAAAAACATCACAAAAACTTAAAAATTAAAAATAATAAAACTATAAAATTTTATTAAAAACTCTAAAAAATTTTTAAAATTTATGAAAGGTTTTCATTTTTTTAATTTTACAATTTTAATTTTTAAATATTTTATGAATTTTTTAGTTTTGTTTGAATTCTTTTTGGATTTTTATTAAAAATTTAAGCTTTTTCTTTTTATTTTTTAAAATTTTGTATAAATTATTTAGAATATTTAAATTTTTTTTTTTACATTTTTTAATTTTTTAAAATTTTTTAAAATTTTAAAGAATTTTTTATAATTCATTTTTTAAAAAAAAAATTAGATTTTTTTATTTTCAATTTTTTAAGTAATGTGAATCTTTTTTTTTTTTTAATTTTAAGAAAATTTTATTTGTATTAAAAGTTTCATTTTTGAAATTTTCAGTTATTTTAACTTTTTGAATTTTTATTAAAATTTTAAGATTTTTAAATTTTTTTATGTTTTAATAATTTTTTAAATTCTTATAATATCTAAAAGTATTTCATTTTTTTATTTTTATAATTTTTTAAAATATTTCAAATTTTTTTAAAAGAAATTTCAATTTTTTTTTGAATTTTTAAAAAATTTTTGAATTTATCTATTAATGTAAATGTGGTAATTTATGATGCAGCATTGACTAGACTTTAGTGTCATGTATCAGCATCTTATTGGTTCTTCATACTATGCCAGCAAGTTGACTAATAGTGTTAATCAGAATTACTAAAATGAATGATGAAATGAAAGTTCGAATACCAAATTGACAATTTTTTTTTTAGGTACGAAATTAACAAAAAATATATAATACAAGGGTTATTATTATATTTAACTCTTTTTTTTTTATTACAAACAAAACCTATGGTCGATTAGCTTGGAATGAATAGTAATATAAAGCACATTTCATTCTTGAGCACAAATTTTACAAATATATATTTATATGTAATACAAGCCTTTTTAGATGCAATCTAATGTTACTAGTACAATTTGTTCTTCTTTATATTATTGTTTGATAAATATGAAAGATTGAATATGTGCAACCATAATCTATCTTGCAATAGCATGTTTGGATGTCAAATTATTAAAATGATTATTCTTCTTTTGACAACAAACTTAGTTTAATTATTGAGGATAGTACTATTTATACTATATTTTTGCGTTGGAGTACATAATTATATGATCTTTTTCTTACTATAATACTTATCTGATTATAATATTTATAGTGTGAATTTATAAATTACAAATAGTATTTTTTATGCATGTTTAATTCCAATAAAAATGTTTAAATAATATATTAAAAAATGATATGGAAAGCCTGCAATAATGCGGGATATGATACTAATATTAGTTATTTAGGTGGTTTGGCATTAAATTTTTTATCTAATTTAGTTTCTTTATTTTTTTTTTCAAAAATTGCATAATGTTGATTCATCTATGATAATTTATAGATTTTTTTGGTTATTTTCACTATAGACTAAATGGTTTGGAATCATTTTTATTTGGGTAAATTTCATGGAAGTTCTTTAGTTTTGAGTATAATTCAACATAAATTCATTAATTTAAGAAATGGACAAGTCGCTTCAAACTTTTTAATTTAAAAAATAAGTAGATCTTTCTATTAGTAATCCATTAGTTATTCCGTTAAAAATCTTATTTAAAAACTATTTTACCCTTGAACAGTAAATATTCTCAAATACTCACCTAAGTAATATTTTATAATAAGTAATTATTTTTATTTTTTCTCAAAATATATCAAATGTATTATTAATAGAAAAAAAATTTTTTAGATGCGATATATAAAAACAAAACTTACAATTATAAGTACACTAATATGAAAATATATGTATAACAAATAAATATATTAAGCATATAATACTATTTTGACATGTCACAATTAAAGAAAAATGAAGTATATAATATGAAAAAACGTTGGTTAAAAAAAAGATCACAATTGGATATTTCTCTGTTTGGTTTTAATTATTATAATACTTGTATATATGTTAAATTTGAATCTATATGTTTGTGAAATTATAGTAATAACAAACTTATTAATTTTATATTGAAAATAATTTATAATAAGTAAACCCCAAATAAATAGTTGTAATGTTTAAATACAAATAATTTTTGTTACTATATATTCAATAGATATATAGAATAAATTTTCTCAAAAAAAATATAGAATAAAGAGTAATATATAAATATATTCCATTTAGGTTTAAGTGGTAGTTTTGTAATTGCTTAAATTATATTAAAGGAGTTAAGAAGTTTGGAGTGGATTGTCCATTTTTCAAATTAATGGATTTGTATTGAATTATACTCAAAATTGAATGACTTGGATGGACTTTTTTGTTTATCCTATATTTATCGAGGTTAACAAATACAAGTAGTGGCATTTTTAACATAATATCAAAAGCAATTTGTGCAATATTTGTTCAATGTTTTATTGGTTTATCATTAGTATCTAGATGATTATGGATTTGATGACAATTTCGATCATAGTTTTTCTTTAATTTTCCTTCTTGAATCATTTAAAAATTACCCAATTTTTCGTTGGAATTCTTTGTGAATGATGCTATTAGTTTCAGTAATATTCTATTATGGGAGGAATCAACTTACAGTAGTGTAAAAGTTTTAGTTTTACATTTTTTTAACCATTTAATGGATGAGTTTAAATCTTTTTTTTTTTTACTTGTCTCTTTCATCCATTAAATTTATTAAAATCAATTGCTAAAAAAATATAAAAAAGGTGTAAAACTTTTTTTTGTACAACTTAATTTCTCCCCTTTTATTATTCATTACTCTATTTTTCTAAATTACAATAATTGATGAACAACACAGTTTACTATTGAAGCAATATAAATAATATAAAAATACTTAATTTACTATTGAAATTATCATGGTTACAAACAATTTTCAATTTGATTGCAAAAAAGAGCTCAAGTCAAGTAGTCAAACTATCCTTTAACGTATATATTATTTAAATTTATCTTGAATTATTTACTATTGAAACTTTCAACATGAAATTATGCATTTTTTTCTACATTATGGTGAATAAAGAGAGAGAAAAATTTAAATGACAAGAAATAGAAATGTAACGAGTTATGAGTAATTGATTTGTGTGTTTAAATTTTAACTTAAAAATATAACACTATTGTTTATATATATATATATATATATATATATAACTTATAATAAAAATTATCCCTAATTGAGCTTTAAACATCCACCTCAGCAATGTCATAAGTTATAGACTGAGAGTCAAATTGGGCAAGAAAACATGTCTTCTGAAGCTTTCAACACAACGCATGTCTAACATCTGTTAAATAAAAACTGAAACACATGTCTAACAACTGTTAAAGAGAAAAGGATAGAAAATAAGTTACCTATTATCGACGCTGACAAGGAAGTAAGGAGTAGACACGATCATCCGTGACACCATCGACAAGGTCTTGGTCCTCCCCGGTCTTGCCGCCGACACCGTTTGTCTCCAACTAGACGATATCCTTGCTAAGACAGCGTGTCAGGTTTCCAAATTCGTGACCGTGGCTTTAGTCGACATAGATTCCGAGAATGATCAGGTTTACGTTAAGTATTTCGATATCACTTTGATTCCTTCGACTATTTTCTTCTTCAATGCTCATCATATGAAGATGGATTCTGGGTATTTATTTTTAACCCTTTATCTTTCAAAATTTTTTGTTTTTTGTTTTTAATTTAATTTGGTTAAAAGAATTGAATTTGATTGATACTTTTAAGCCACTGAATAGGTTAAATGCTTTTGGATCCCAAGCTCACCGACAAGGCAAGTCTCTACCTTGCATGTTCCTTTTTCTTTTTCTTTTTTTTTTTTTTTAATTTCTCTTTAATTGTATCGACAAAGGTTAACAAAGTCTGCTGTTGTCATTGAAGAACTCTGGTAAGTTCATAAAATCTTTATCTGTCTTTTTTTTTTTTTCCTTTTTACATTATTTAAAATTTTATATTTCTTGGGTTATAGTAATTATTTTTTTAGGTGCTTGGTTTTAGATTATGTAAGGCTTAATCACAATACAACTTCATTTTTTGATTTTTTGAGTGTTCGCTTAAATGCTTGATTGATGTTTCAAGGTGGAGTCGTGTTCGCTTAAATGCTTGTAAGGTATTAAAAAAATATTTTTGTTATTATTTTTTAGTTTAAAAGTTCGATTTTTTCATAAATGATCAAATTTGGAATTTTGTCAAATTGGGAAGGGATTGTTAGAAGATACCAAAGCACAAAAATTGGCTTTTCAACATTGGATTGAAGCTGTAATTTACTCTCCTAAGTCCTTGGGCCTTTCACTTGAATCAAAACATATATTCATTTCAAATTTTAGATTTTTTTTGATAATTTTATTGATTGAACCTAACTTTTTTTTTTTTTTAGTGCAGATTGATGCACGTCATCACTATGGGCATAGCTTGCATATTTACTTCGAGGAGCGGTGTAAAGCTAATGCTGGTCAACCATTTTTCTACTGGTAAGCCTTAACATGAATTGCAATTGCTATTAACTTGAAATATCCCAATGAAAGTGTTCAAAGCAGTTAATTACTCATGGAGTTTTTTTGCTAGTGCTGTTTGACAGGTTAGATATAGGGGATGGCAAAGATATTAATCCCAAAGAATGCCCGAGATTAAAGCTTCAATCGCAATGCATTAAGTATCTTGGACTTGTATGTGCCATCATATGTTAGGTTTCTAGATTTAAATTTCTAATAACATGTATGAAATTGTTAATTCCAATTGATGTAAAATCCTGATATGTGTGTGTTTTGTCTTTTAATGTGGAAATAGCAAAAAAAAAAAAATGGCATTATGAGTACATTGTTGTTGAAAGAAAGAAAGATTATCCATAAACAGACCTAGAAAGTACTTGATATAATCCAAGGATTGAAATAGGGAAAACGTATATTTGTTATAAGCACCTCCAAGAAATTGTATGCTGGTGAGGTAAGCATCTATATGACTCAAAACAGCCTTAAATTGCTTTTTGCCATCCTCAGACAATAAGGTGTACACAACTAACATACCCTATGGAAACAAACACAAAAAAGAGCCACAATATTACATTGTATTTTGGTGTTTAGTTTTCTTGAACCAGATGAAGTACCATGTTACGAATTATTTTATTTCAACTATCTCATTCTTTTGTTTAAATTTGGATTATTTGAAAATTAAATTGTAATCTTATGTTTGCTTTTATTCTATCTCAGCATTCATTATCATTTTATTTCTATTGGTGAGAAGAACATTGGAACAACAATTAGCTAAGAGGTATTTTGGGGTTCTATCTATAATCTTTCTTCTTTGAAGTTAAATGCATCTTTGGGTATAGGTGATGAATTGTAGAATATGTACCAATGCGAAAATAGTTTACTCATCATATTAGATGTAGAGTGCCTGATCTCTCTACTCTATTGAAGGATTTTTCTTACACATTATGAATATGATCAAGTGTTCTTATTAAGTTTATGATCAAACTTTACCACCACTATTTTCATAAGTTTGAATGACAGCATTAGCAATTAAATTGGCAGTAATGCATTTTCTAGAGCTTATATGTTTTTTCATCCTTGCTTCATTATTTTTCCAAATTGCAATTGCAAGTGTTGTTTTCTTCCTAAAAGATCTTATATGGTTAATTCTTGTATGTATGCAACCTAGGCTGGAGATGGTTAATCAGGTAATTGTTATTTAATGTGTCTTAGTGATTATGAAAGAGCATGGCTGATGAATTTCCATAGGACAAGTGTCGATCCTCTTAGTGTACTCATAAAGATTTGGCCATAGATAAATGGTAGCAATTCCATTTATGTGGCCAAAAGATGAAGAAAGATTGATAGTTATTGCTCACTTTTTCTTTTATTATTATTGATTAATACTAATTTGCAACATGTAATAATTTTCTTTGGTCTTTTTTGAAAGATATTGCATTGAAAGCCAATTTTGAATTCATAAACAAGTTTGGAGTTGATAGGTGGTGTTTCCATGGTAGGGACATTGCTTCTAACAGTAAAACACTAGAGGTCAGGTAGTTTTCTTATTTATTCTTAAAGTTCCTTTTATATTTGAATGCTTTGAAATGAACTGGTTTTTTCTAAACTGTTTTAATAATTGTCTTATAACTTTTGACAATTGTCTATCAATCAATTTCTTATTGTGTTTGTTGTAGGAAACTAATGCAAACTTGGATGAAGTGATTGCCCTTACTAAAAAACTTCAGGTAACTTACTGAATGTGTATAAAGTGTTTGGTGGCTGCTATCTTGCTTTAGTAAAGACTTAAGTACTAAAATTTCTCTTTTTCTATTTCAATAATTTTATAGTTTCTTGAACATCTCAACTTGGGTCTCTTTACACCTTATTTACTTTTAGTTTGTTTATTTTAACAGCCTAGCTTTATTAATCAATCACATAGGTAACAGGTACTGTGCTTGTTGTTACAAGAAATAAGAAATAGCACTTTTTGAGAAATCTCAAAAGAGTTTATACTATGGAACAAACATATGTTCATATATGTATGTATACATATATGCATATACATGAGGATTTAAGGAAATCTTATATTGGATTGATGGTTGGGCTTTTTTTATTTGTGAATAATTGTTTGGAATTGGGTGATTGTGATGTTTAGATGGTCGACAAGATCAATAAAGTCCTTTGTAATGGAGAAATTGAAGGCAAGGAAGATCAAGTATCCAAATAAAATTGAAATGCTTCTTATGGGAATTCTGGTGGAGGGTTAGTGTTTTATTTGCCATTTTAGCTCACTACTTATTATTATAGCATCATATAACACACTTCAAAAACTACTTTAGAAAATTTTCTTATGGAATTCAATGAAAACCCGTTTCTATTGGGGAATGGTAGTGAAAAAGTGTGCAGTGTTCATCTTTAATTTGTTTCGGATGATCATAGTATTCACTATGAAACAAAAACTTTTATATAAATAAGTAGGTGCTCTTAATGCCACACAAGTATGCATGAGGTGTGAAAATCGTCTGCTTAAGAATGTTAACTTGATGATCTACTTAAAGCAGGGTAAACCCACCTCCTTACACTATAAGAAATTTTTTATATATTGACGTTTGGTTATACTAAGGGTCAAATTGCATCAGTAAAAAAAATTTATATTGATGATTGTTTTTAATACCATTAGAAGATACCATACTTTTACCAACATTTTAGACAACCGTCGGTGTAAATAAACTTTTTTTGATGGAATATAACTATTGTCAGTATAAGTATGTTATATACAAACACTTATCTATACTAACGATCAAATTATGTAAGTAAAAAGTATCTATACTGATGAATTTTTGTTACTATCAGTATAGATAGTGCCTATACAACACTTTGTATAATCGTCGGTATAGGTAAACTTTTTATGACAATATATAAATATTCGTTATTATAAATATGTTATATATTATGGTTATAATCTATTTGAATATAAATATCCGTTAGTATAAATATGTTATATATAGAAAACCCTTGAATAATCTCTTTTAATGAATAATTCATGGATTATTGAAGGCGTTTCTAGCTAAAAACGCCTTTAATAATTCATGGATTATTCAAGGTATTTTTGGTCAAAAACGCTTTTAATAAACCTATTCAATATTTTGTAAGGGATTATTCAATGCACATTCTAGCTAAAAACACCTTCAATAATCCTCTCATAAAAATTAAAGGGGATTATTCAAGGTATTTTTGGTTATAAACGCCTTGACTAACCCTATTTAATTTTTTCTAAAGAAGTATTCAAGGTGTTTTCACACCAAAACGTCTTGTATAATCTTACAAAAAAGGGGAAGGGATTATTGAAGGCATTTTTGGTAAAAAATACCTTCAATAATCCACTCATAAAAATTTAAGGGGATTATTCAAGGCACGTACTTAGCCAAAAATGCCTTCAATAACCCCTTTCAATTTTTTGTAAGGGATTATTCAAGGCATTTTTCAGGCAAAAATACCTTGAATAATTACCTCATAAAAATTGAAGAGGATTCAAGGCATTTTTCCCAAAAAAAAATGAGAGGAGATTATTGAAGGCATTTTTGGCTTGAAACACCTTTAATAATCCCATTCAATTTTTTTAAGCGATTATTAAAGGCATTTTTAGCAAAAAACGCCATCAATAATTTCCTATAAAAATTTTTAGGGATTATTCAAGGTGTTTTTTGGGTTAAAATATCTTGAATAATCCCCTCAAAAAAATAAAGGATTATTGAAGGTATTTTTGGCAAAAAATACCTTCAATAATCCTATCATAAAAATTAAATGAGATTATTCAAGGTGTTTTTTGTCATAAATACCTTGAATAATCATATGCGAAGATTTTTAAAGATTATTCAAGGTATTTTTTGGCCAAAAATACCTTAAATAATCCCCATTGCTTAAAAATTGGATTATTTAAGTTACCATCGTATATGCCAAGGAGATTATAGTAATTATTCAGGATTTAATATATGTGGATTCTCTTCAACAAAATGAATGAATCTGAACATGAGATGCGCTAAAAATGAAAGAAAACTTCAGGTATCGCATTTATCCAGGGATCACACTTTTATTATGAATATACGATTCTGCAAACTAAATGCCCCTACGTCTTGGGCATAAATATTTTTCTATGTTATTTGTAATTTTTTTTTTATAAAAGACAAATCCAATTAATGCTCAAAGAAAAAATTGGTCCTTATGCTCTCATATTTTGGGCATGAAAACCTTTAAAAAAAATCTAAACTTATTAAAACAAAAGTAGTGAAAATTTTGTTCTTACCATCCTTACCTTGCCTTTTAGTCCTTACCTCACTTGAAGCTTATCTCATCTTATTCTCCCTTGCTTTTAATCTTTTTAACTTTGTAGCTAAAATCCTTATTTAAATTTTCAATGTTTAAAACTTTGTTTTCCTTGCAAAAATCACTCATTTCTACATAGTTTTTACAATATATCTAGATTTTATCCTTTTGTAATTATGAGTTATTTATGGTTGGTTGGGACTTGATAAAGATGGTCCAAGGTAGCTATTAGGTAGAGAAATCTCCTAAGAAGCTCTTTGCACTTGAATCAACTACTTAATAATTTTCTTTGATTTATTTTCATGTTTATACTCTACTTTCATTCTAGTTCGGTTTTCAATTAATGTTTTGATTATTTGAGCTTGTCTTCCTTATTCATTTGCTTGATTAATTTACTTTATTTTGATGTCAAGTTATTACATTTATTTTTTTTACTTGCTTTTAAATTTTCCAACACTTAATTTCATGTTCTTAGTGGTACTAGTTATTATATGTTGCTTTAAATTTCTATTTTTTAGATTCTTCTTTGATTATGCCTAATCTTTTTTTTTTTAGCATTTAGATAATGATTATGCCAATTCCTGTTTCTTGCTGCAAATTGGTTGACTAATAAAGCGAAGGTAAATGTTTATAAAATATAAAATTTACTTTGTTTTAACACTATGATAATAATTACAAAGTTATTATAATATATCATTACATGAAAATGGAGATTGAGTGGCTGTTTTTTAATGGCATTTTTAAATAAATGCCACAACATTTTGTTTTTTTATAAGGTTAGCGGGCCTTTTTATAAAACACCATTAAATTCTTATATAGTGGCATTTGGATTTAAAAACGCTACTAAAAATATATTTTTGTGGCGTTTTTTGACCTAAACGCTTTTATATACTTTGACTTTTTATAATTTTGCCTGCTAAATACAAATCTACAAATTATAAAAAACTCAAGGGGTGTTTGGTTCGAAAAAATCTAAATATTTTTTTGAAATCTTATTGTTGGGTATTTGATTCCAACATTTGGTCTTCTTCCTCCTCTTGTGCAGGATTGATCGGGTGTGAAGGCAATAGTCAATTTCGCTGAACCCAGGAAGAATTGATCGATCCCTTCTTTGATAGGATTGATCGGATATTCAACCAGTAGCTAAAATGACTTGGAAAGACACAAAATCGATCGATCCCCTTCAAACCCAATTGATCGGTTCCATGCAAAAGCCCAAAATTGATCAATCCTCCATTTCAATCGATCGATCGGGTCATGAATTTTAGGTGTGATAAATTCGGGTCCTCACCTATTTGGTCGATCCTTTCATCTTTCCTCCCCTATTCATCTTCTTCCCCAACTCTTTCTCTCTACACCCTACATATTCCCATTTATTTCTCACCAAAAATTGACTCTTTCTCTTGTAAATTTCTCTTGTAAACTTGCTACCCACTGTTTCTTACTTATCAAACTCATCTCCCATGGCACCCAGAACCAAAGTCATTGTTAAATGATGAAACCCTCCAAGAGAGGCTTCAAGCTCCACCATGAAGCCTTCTTTCAACCAAAATTTCAACAATCCTGAAGCTAAGGAGCGGTATGAGACACACTTTGCTCATCGAGAAGTAAAGCCTGGAAGGGTAATCTCACTAGACTTCTTCAATCAATAGAATTTTCTTATTTGCATACTTTTGAGTCTTTTGGATGGATGCCTTACTTGTGTATGGAGAGTCGCTTATTCGAGAATCTAGTAAGAGTTTTCTATAGTAATGCTAGCTGTGTTCAAATTGAAGGAACAAATAGGCATTACCTTGATAGGTTCAGAACATATGTAATGGGGAAAGAAATCTTAGTTACAAAACAAGTGCTAGTTGAGGCCTTTACGTTAGCTAATGAAGGGGAGACAAATACTAGATGTGATATGGTGCAACTAGCTCAAGATATCTTTATGAATCACAATTTACAGGTTGTTCCCACACAAGCCTCTAGGTTACCTATGCATGATCGGTTGCTACACCTCATTGTAACCCATGCGTTAGCCCCTTTTGGGACACAATACTCCATCATTAGGAAATAAAATTATTGGTGGTTGTACAAGATCAAGCGTGAACAGAAACCAGATTTGGTGCACTTCATTTTTAGTGACATGATGACGATTATCCAAAATAGAGATGTTACTCTGGTATATGGGTATGCTATAAGCAATCTTTTGAGACATTTGGAAGTAAACACTAGAGGCGATAGAGAAATGTGCGTCAATGACCCATTTAGTATTCTTGGGCCTCCCATATTGCATAGTGTGGGGTATGTTAAAACTTCACCTGACCAATGGGTTAAAAAGAGAGACATTGGTGCTGCACAAGAGGAAGCGGAAGAGCAAATATTGGATCGGATTTTGGTGTATGGCAACCCAACCTGTCGAGGCCCAATGGGTGAGGTATCCCATGAAGGCTTTACGAAACCCTTTATATTCGCCTGTCACTTAGTATGGGGCTCTGCGCTACCAAAAGAGAATAAGGAAATAGAGTTACGCTTTCGCTATTAGCTATAGCTTTTGGTACATTGGTAAGTTCTTGATCCTAAAAACTGGTATCAAAGTTATATTTACAAAATAATAAAAAAAATGTGGGAAAACATAAGAGATGGCAATAAGAAGGCTTTATTGAGGTAGAGGTGGAGAATGAGGAGATGGAGGTGGAGGAGGAGAGTAATACGAAGACTGTCCCATGTGCTGAGGAATAAACCTCATATGCTCAATATCAACTCGAAGATGCTGGACTTGTGTCACAAGTTCATTTTAAGTTTCCTCCATGGACTTCAATCTAGTGCTCATAGTGTCAACCATCGAGTGTAGACTGTTCATCTGAAGCAAAAGCATCTCTAAGGTACCTTGAGTGTCAAAAGGTGTGCTAGGGGGTTCTTCTTAAGGTGCAGGCATATATACAGGGTCTTGCTCTTCCTCTTCCTCTTGTGCAACACCAATATCCCCTTTTTTAACCCATTAGCCAGTTGAAGTTTCAACATACCCCATACTATGCAATGTGGAAGGCTCAACAATACTAAATGGGTCATTGACGTGCATCTCTCTCTCGCCTCTAGTGTTTACTTCCAAATGTCTCAAAAGATTGCTTATAGCAGAACCATATACCAGAGTAACATCTTTATTCTGGATAATTTTCATCATGTCACTAAAAATGAAGTGCACCAAATTTGGTTTCTGTTCATGCTTGATCTTGTACATCCACCAATAATCTTGTTTCCTAATGGTGGAGTATTGTGCCCCAAAAGGGGCTAACACATGGGTTACAATAAGGTGTAGTAACCGACCATGCATGGGTAACCTAGAGGCTTGTGTGGAAGTAACCTGTAAATTATGATTCCTAAAGATATCTTGAGCTAGTTACATCATATCACATCTAGTATTTGTCTCCTCTTCATCAGCTAATGTAAAGGCCTCAGCTAGAACTTGTTTTGTAATTAAGATTTCCTTCCCCATTACGTATGTTTTGAACCTATCAAGGTAATGCCTATTTTTTCCTTCAATTTGAATACAGCTAGCATTACTATAGAAAACTCTTACTAGATTCTCGA